GTTTTTTGTTCGAAAGTAATTGAATACGTTAAGAATAACATTTGAAACCGTACAAAGAGGCCGCACGTTCCTTCCCCACCTCTGGTATAGAACATCTTAAACAGAGTGCACTCATTCGCGAAGAAACGATTTACGTAGACGATGAATACAGGTGCGCGTAGATGCTGGCGATCTAACGAAACAATGAGCCCTCGAGACTTCCCCCGTATGTATCGCGTTTCCTTATAATCGAATTAAGAAGGCCTCCCTGTTCGTTCCATCGGAGACGATCGTTTTAGATCGCACCCCTATCCACTTGTGTAACGACGGTACATAGTTACCTGTCGTATACGTTACATATTTTCGCTGGTCTTACGTCGTAAGTAGATGGGAAATTTTTATCGCAAATGGACACATTTATGGTATCATTTAACATAACAGGATTTAGATAGAAATTTCTCTTATCATTTTATTATTATGATATTTCATATATTATTAATACATTACGTGCATTCTTTATGTTTGCTGCACGTCAAGTTTTCATATTAAAATGTGATACGATAGAATCTGCATATGAAATGAATTATAGTTTAAGAATAGATTAACATTTATTGAAACATGACTAATAAACTTTCTTTGAAAGGAGCTAATATTAAACTAACCGTTTAAAAGACACTGCAGCATCTCGTCAGTCATTTCATCGAATATGTTTCGAAGATAATTGCGTTCTCAGTTAGATTCAAACGAGATACCCTGTATAAATGATATTGTTTCAAATCGTCCAACACGCCTACGTTACAGTTTAAAAGAGTCGCGCAACGGTTGGTTTAACGATGATTCAGGGATCGGTCAAATGGTGCTTGAACCCTTTCTATCTTTTTCTTTTCCTGTCCGCTCCTTCACAACGTACCTACTTATAGTATACGTCGTACGACTAATCCTTTCCTACATCCTTGCTCCTCTTTATCCCTTTTGTTCTCCACTCTCTCCGTTCACCACAGCGACGCCAAGTATACTAATTTACTTTTAAAAAATTACTTTATCCAAGGGGTGAACTGTATCTCTATATATCTTTTTAATAGTAAACTTTGTAAATCACGTGACGTGTCAGTACGTGTTAATCTTTACGTACCATGAAACCGGTTTACTTTTAAAAAAAAGTTTTCTCTTTTATTAGAGGATAGTAGGTATGTATTGGAGAGATGCTGGGAGGGTTCCATCGAGTTAAAAATCGATTTTCCATACGCGTTAACTGGCGACCTTCTAGCGTGTATCATGAAGTTCGCCAAGTACAATGACCCCGCCCACGGTATATACAGGGTGTTCGGTTATCTGTGGATGAATTTTGAGTAACCATTGTAAAAACCGAAAATTTTCGTCTCGGTTTCTTTATCACTGTATCCATACGTAAAATTCATGTTATTCCTAGTTTGCGATCATTTCTTATTTAACCGGTGCTGTAAGTGTTGGACTCGTACGACGATAATCTTATAGATTCGGTTTCAATCAATTACGTATTTAAGATAAGTAAATTGGATTTGAAACATTGATATGACACGACTAGGGTCGATAGGGTTGAGACTAGAATGAAATATCAGTTGATTAAAAATTGAAACATTTGTTTTTAGTACGTTTCTCATAATGGATCCCCTGATTTGTTGAAACTACCGGCACACCTATGTCTAGCTGGTAGCGTAAACGTCGCTCGTAAATCGTTTCCATAAGAGTAGGAGCGCGCATCGCTTCTGGAAAACCACTTCTGTCGTGGCTTACAACTTGAGACTGCTTGATGTTCTTCTAGGTTGAAGAAATCCTAACTTAGCTTCCACTCTCGTATACCGATTTTTATCTCGAAACGTTCTTACGGTTAACAAACGTCCCTCGACTTCTTATGCTTACCGTAAGGGTTTATTCTAATTATGTGTGATAATAGGCAATGAGTCATAGACACTTTTGTTTATTTTATAATCCTAAAGATTCTGCTATAACAGTAGAATCTCCCTAAATTTCGTATCAATTGTCTTAGAAAAGTTTTTGCGTCGTTCACGTAATATTTTACAATTTTGTTAATTTTGCAAATTTCGGCTTGTCGTTCGGCGCAGACATTTTCGGAGATAACTAAATTTAAGAGTACAGGCCGGTAAATAGAGCCTTAAACGATCTGCTGGTAGTTTTCAACGCGATCACCCTGTAAACAGAAAAATACGCAACGGCGCGTTGCGTCGCGAAAGGCGATGCACCGGGGGTGGCTGACAGCCCCACCGCTATTGCCGTGTCATCCGACGAACTCGACCCTCGTCGGTAACCCCCGTGTTCGACGGGAGTCGAGGATGGTGTTGGGGATGTGGTCGATGCAGCGTTTCCATAGAAACCAGACGCGCCGTCCGCTACCCCCTCCGTTACCCTCTGGTGCATTCAACCGAGGGTTGCAATCTCTTCTACCCTCGGACAGACTAAGATGGCGATTTTAAACGAAAATGTAAACGATAACTATTTTATTTATTTCCCGGGAGATGGTTTAATCATTAGGAAAGCTTTCAGTATCGCACAGTTTTCAGTCTACGCCACTTGTTCCAATCATTTGAAATAAACAAGATTTACAATTTTTCGTTTCGACCATTCGAAGTAATTAATCCCTGAAACGCGATCGAGATTTATATGAAATTCGATGCGTTTCGTATTTTATACGAAATTCGGATTCGAACGCCCACATAGGGTAGGCGTAAGGAAGCTGGTTCGAAGACTCTTTCGTCCAAGGTCGCGTGGATACAGCACCGGTCACGCTATATAGCTGTTCTTTTCATTTTCTACCCTCTCGATGGGAAACGCGATAAAAGAATATTGACCACAAGCTGTTCTATAATACCTGAATTATTTTTGGCTTCTCTTTCGTGAGATTATTACTTATAAAAATCAAATGAAGTCCTTGATCAACTCGATATGACAGGCATCGATCGGACGTAAGTAATTCAAATAGCTATTCCCTAAGTTCCCAGGCCTATCTGTGGCCATAATTGGAATTGATACAAAGCTTGAATGATAAAACAAATCTGAATTTATATCGAGTGAAACCGAGTTACTGGGTAAAATTTTCGGCTCCAATTTACATTTGTATTATACAATAATAATGCAAATAATTAAATGAGACGTTATGACGAAAAAAAAAGTATAAAAACGTGGAAGGATTTATTTGTGGTACACCCTGTAGAACCGAGAGAGGTCTAGTAAGCTAGAATAGTTGGCGAAAGGAGAGAAGAGGAGAGTGGAGAAGGAAGAACGTGACCCCTGAACACGACGTTCATCGATCGGGGAGCACGCATTCTCTTCCTCTTCCCTCTTCTCCTCTCCTTTCCTCTCCTTTTCTCTCCTTTTCGTTGCTTCCTCTCATCGCGCCGACTCGTAATTTCCCATCGGATCTGCTTGGAACATGCTCACCCTCCGGATTTCTTTCTCCCTTGACTTTTTCCCCTATAAAAGGACGCGTCAGAAAGAAATTCGTTACCTCCGGGAACAGAATCGTGAACGTGAACCTTGTTGCTCAATTACCAATTTGTTCCTTTGAATTTCTAAAGAAAAATCGTCAGTCGTAATTCGTTAGTTTTTCTATAATAGTACGGAATTAATTAAATATGTCGCCTTACATACTGATTTTGTTATAAACAGCATGAAAAACGACTGGATTGCCACAAACTTTCACCTAAGATTATGCAGGTTTTATATCGTAAAGGAACAACTAGATTAAAATCACATACGACAGACGCAATCGTCTAATCAGATCGAGTTCGTGTTAGGATTAATTATAAATCGAACATGCGTACCATGTACGTTTGATGGATGTTACGAATCTACAAAGTATGCAATTCTCGTACGAATGCTTTTCGCTTCGTAGGCGACCTCGAGCCCCGCGAACGCTTCCTTTAGGAGCGTTCACCTTTTATCTTAGGACGCGATCGAAATTCCTGCACGATGATAGGTACCATCGCTGTACTATGTACAATTCAACGTCAGGGAGTACAGAATTAACTGGCGAACTTTTTTCCTTCTTCAATTATTCTTCTTTTCAGTCTAATCGATCGAGTTTGTCGAAAATAAATCGAATTTTTCGTCAGTCCCAATTGCAGAGAATTGCGCTGGAAATTTTCTCAACATTTTGTGTTAGTCATGCTAGAACGTATAAGTCACGTCGACATATGCGAAATTATTTCATCTTCATTTTGACACACGACAGTGAACGATGAGACAAAACATGATAAATGATTTCCTACCGGAAAATTCAAACAACTCTCCGCGTGCACGAACCTAATATGTATTTACGACATTAAAATGTTCAGTCTCCGAGTTTATTTTGACGCTCACGATTTATTGTTAAATTAGATTTTATTTTATATCATTCGTGACGCGCCTCGGGAAACTGAATTTTCCAGGAGCCTCGCGAGTGTTGGATAATCCTCCCGTTCGTGACCTTGGTCTCGTAGAGGTTCTCGACCTCTTTTTTTTCTGTCCGTCGCGCCGCTTCTGTTCTTTCCATTCTTCTTCTTCTGCTGCTGCTGCTTTCATCCCTCCGTCTGGTCACACAAACTCGAAATGAAATAGAATTGTACCCATTTTACTGATTCAATCACAATTCCTACTATATACGTTTTTACATAATTCAGAATATGTTGCATTCTACGGTTGGACGAGGTATGAAAACGTAGAACTAGTCATCAGTTTAATTTTTAATACACTGCGGGTTTTATGCATTTATAGAAAAATTTTATATTCATACCGCAAAAGTTCTGTTTGTATGATATAAAATAAAATATAAAGTATAAAAGGCCAGGTGGAGAAAAAATATCGATCTGTACAGTTAGTAACAATGAAAGTGAGCCAGTTCGGGCTTGTGTTAGTTTGCCCCAACAGTATCGATGCCAGATAGAGCATTGAAAAATACAAGCTGGATGTATCATAGACGAAACCATGTCCTTATGTATTTTGGATACGATTTTGTATATTACATTGGGTGTTATTTTGTGTTACAGGGATGCCGGTTGACTGAAGATGGCCTCGCCGACGCTCTCGCTGGAATCGCGTGCGAATTCGATCGGTTCCTTGACATCGGTGTCACCGCTCACCGTGAGCGGTAGTTCGCCACCGGCGAGCGACTCGGCGATCTGCGACGTGGACAGCTGCGACGCCTGCCTCGACTCGCAGAAACCTGGAGAGACTCCGTGTCCCCGGTGCCGATTAGGCGGCGCATCGCCCGGCGTCCGTTGCACCGGTTGCAAGTCGAACGAATCCGACGCCGTCGCCCGTTGCTTCGACTGCGCTAACTTCCTCTGTCCGAATTGCGTAATGGCGCACCAGTTCATGCACTGTTTCGAGGGCCATAGGGTGTTGAATCTCGGCGACTCGAAGCTCGAAACGGTGACGACGACGACGACAACGACGAACGCGAACACGAACGGTAGTATCGAGATGTCGAAAAACGGGAACATGGTGAACGCTACGAACGGCGAGAAAGTGCCGAGAGATCACTGTCCCAGGCACAAACAGGAGTCGTTGAAGTACTTCTGTCGCACGTGTAACGCCCTCGTCTGCAAGGAATGTGCCATCACCGACCACCCTGGCCCTCTGCACGAGTGCGCCCATATCTCGGAGGTCGGCAATCAACAGCTGGAGTTGATGGCGAGGATGGTACAAGAGTGTAGAACCAAGGCGGCCGACGTGAGAGCCGCGGTGAAGGCCGTGGACCATACCACCGCGAGACTTCAAGTTCAATACCACAAAGCTCAGAACGAGATCAATGACACCTTCCAGTTCTACCGATCTATGCTTGAAGAACGGAAACAGGAGTTACTGAAGGAACTCGAATCGGTATTCTCCACTAAGCAAATATCCCTGAGCGTGTCGACGCAAAAGGCGAACGAAATGGCGGACAAGATCCACCAGACCTGCGACTTCGTCGACAGATTGACCAAGTATACGACGGTCACCGAGGTTCTCATGGTGAAGAAACTGTTGGACTCGAAGCTGCAAGCGTTGTTGAACTATACACCGGATATCGCGAGCCAAACGGTCGACTTAGAATTTGTCAGTAACTACCAAGCGATTCAAGTGGGAGTCAGAAACACCTTCGGTTACGTCCGAAGCAACAACGAGAACAACTCTGGGCAAATCGGTAAACAGCCTCCGATAGCTCGGCCCACGGTCTTGTCCAGCAACGGGAATACCGGAAACAACACCAACGGTAGTACCGGACTAGGAGGCCTACTTCTCGACAGACCCTACAGCAACGGTCTGATATCGTCCACCTCGACCTGCGCCTCGTCCACCTCACCTTCTTTCGACGCTAACAGCACGGTGATCACCAAACGATTCAGTTCCGCCAACAGTCTCGGTCCCTTCTCGACCACCATCAGCGATCTGAACTTGAACGGGATCAATTCCAATCCTTACGAGAAATGGAGCAACGGTGGCAGCGACGCGTACCCGGTGGCGACCGCGAACGACCACTTCCCGATGCCGAGTTCCGCCGCCGTGGCTGCCAACGCCACGTCCACCGAGTCCGTTCTGGACTTGACCTCGAAGCTGATGTCCGCCGCGGCGATCTTTCTACCGAAGTCGCAGATCAAACGACAGAAGATGATCTATCACTGCAAGTTCGGCGAGTTCGGCGTGATGGAGGGACAGTTCACGGAACCCTCGGGCGTGGCCGTGAACGCTCAGAACGACATAATCGTCGCCGACACGAACAATCATCGAATACAGATATTCGACAAGGAAGGCCGGTTCAAGTTTCAATTCGGTGAGTGCGGGAAACGCGATGGACAGCTGCTCTATCCAAATCGGGTGGCGGTGGTAAAAACTTCCGGGGACATAATCGTGACGGAACGATCTCCGACGCACCAGATACAGATCTACAACCAGTACGGGCAGTTCGTGCGGAAATTCGGTGCGAACATTCTGCAGCACCCCCGGGGCGTGACCGTCGACTCGAAGGGGAGGATCGTGGTCGTCGAGTGCAAGGTGATGCGCGTTATAATTTTCGACCAGGCTGGGAACGTTCTTCAGAAGTTCGGTTGCTCGAAGCACCTGGAGTTCCCTAACGGGGTCGTGGTGAACGACAAACAGGAGATCTTCATCAGCGACAATCGGGCCCACTGTGTGAAGGTGTTCAACTACGACGGGGCTTATCTGCGTCAAATTGGCAGCGAAGGGATCACCAACTACCCGATCGGCGTCGGGATCAACGCCGTCGGCGAGATACTGATCGCCGACAATCACAACAACTTCAATCTGACGATATTCACGCAAGACGGTCAGCTGGTCTCGGCGTTGGAGAGCAAGGTGAAGCACGCCCAGTGTTTCGACGTCGCGCTGATGGACGACGGCTCCGTGGTCCTGGCCAGCAAGGATTATCGGCTTTACATTTACCGTTACGTACAAATACCGCCCATTGGCATGTAGAGCAACGACGGTTGACGAGGGAGGAGTGTGACGATTTTGTAGTTCTCGGAGCCAGACTGATCTGTACTATAGGTCCCGATTCCGTTTTACAAATCAAGGTACAATTCAACAATCAGTTACATCTCGCGTTTCAACGTCGATTAGGCGATACGTAGTGGACTTTTTTATTACCTATAGCAATTCTAAAATATATGCCGAAAACGCGTAGAATCGATCGATCGGTGGCGTCTCGATGAGAACGGGACGCGATATAAGTCTGATCAATCATGGTATAATATTCAGAATTCTATGATAATCATGATTTATGGGATGTAACGGCGGCTGTTCGATTGAGATTCGAGATGAAATACAGAAAATAAATCCATTGAATTACGATAGAATTCCGATATGTTAAATATCATGTGATCATTGCTGACGTCACAGGATTCAGGTCGATTACGTCGGTAGGACTCGATTATGTATAGCATTACGGGAAGTGAGAGTCCACGCAATATCTAAATTCGATCAACTCTACTGTAATTACCGTAGAATTCTAATGATCCGGTACGTTCCGGACTGTTTTTGCCAAATATAGATTACTGGACTACGTCTACGTCTACGACTGATTACACTGGAGTATGTCGTGTGCGATTGAAAAATGAGGAAACTAGAGATCCTGGTCCATTCGGAAAAAGATTATTTAACGTCGTTTCAACAAATACTTGCGACAATACGAATTCTAATAGAATTTTGATAATTCGGCATGTTCAAGATCACGCGAATATGGCGAATTACCAAACATGACCCGTGTACTATAATTAAAACGGAAAGGTACCAAACGAAATTCCATTAACTTGGTTTATGCTGCGAAACTGGCATTAATTATTCGGTACTTCTGTAAAACTAACAATCGAGGCACACGATATAAATCCAGTTGATTGCAGTAATTACAGTAAAATTCTGATTGAATCAAGATTTTGCGGGTAGATACAAAGGAACTCAAGCGGACATCAATACGGCGGACCTTTTTGAGATCAGTTTGGTTCTCCTGTACGGAATTGTTCTCGTTGTTCTTGTTGTCGGTTATCATTTTTGTGTCAAGAACAATAACGGAAGGGTGCATCACCATCTTCTCGAAATATCTCTTTTTCTACTTGCATACAAATAACTTTCAGCACTCATCATCTTCTTCTAAATACTTCTTCTTCGCCCGACCACCATCGCTATTTCTATGATACCTTATCAGTGACATTACATCGAATGAAACTGTTAAAACGTCAGACAAAATGGAAACGTATTGATACGATTTTATAAAAATTGAAAACAATCTTACTACGATTCACCATTTTAATATAGTCAAACGAATAGAGAGAAGAGACAGTGAGTAACTTCTGCCATTTGATGATCAAAATATTTACAGTTTTATTCCATTTATTCGAATCGCTTTAAGATGACTAATTTTATGAATAAGAACGATGAGGTGAACCAAGGATATAACGATCTTAACAGTTTCACTCGATTCTTCATCTAGAGCTATTACTTACACTTCCGTAATCGATACACCTAGAACGCATCGATTATTTATTACGATCAAGACTTTAGACTTGTGATATACATACTATATCATCATTCGTGAAAATGAAATTTTCCGAATCGTGAATTTTCAGAAGAGATTCCCAACACGGTCACATTATGTACTTGCAATTGTTTTAAATGTCGTATAACGAGATTGAACCGAGGGACACATATATACTGGTCAAGCAAATATCTACGTAAATATGATGGAGTATTTATGTGAATATGCTTACTGTATTATCGACGTTCACGTCAATCTTGTTAACATCGAGATTGGAATAATTGAACGTACATAATGTACTCGCACATTGACCATTTTGACTTTTTACAAGAGTCAACGGATAATAAATGAATAATGAAAAAGTAAATAGTTTAGATAAAAACCGAGAATTAACAGGCGACTAAACGAACAAAATTAATTATAGTAATTAAGAAAAGTAAATGATTTAACAGAAGAAGTTAAAAGAAAGAGTACACTCGCGGGAAAATGCAAACTTGAACAGAAAAGTCGGAAAGCTGGACGCTAGCTCGGAAGTGAACACGAAACGCGCGCGGAGATTTACTCCGGAGCGCACGAAATAAACAGATGAAGAGCAAAGGACGAGGAACTGAGTTACAGGCGACACGTTTCGAACGTGGGCGATCGTTTTGTTGCGCTTGCATTTAAAAAAAAAAAAGAAAAAATAATGGTGGGAACGCGGTAAACGCGGAGAAAAAAACTTACTTGTTAACGTTGTTATTAACTGAAAAAAATACTGTTGTTGTTGTTTAGTTGTAGAGCTCGCCGCCGCTAGTCACTCCCCTCCAAGCGCTTTTCCTTTCATTTCCCAATCTTCGAATTCTGATCCCTTCTCTTGCCCGACTGCGATTCTTCAGTTCTCCATAAAAATAGCTTACGACCAATTACCATATTCCGTATTAAATAAATTCTGTTACGTTTCTAGTTTTTCACTAAGTATATACATCTTCATTCCCCCCTCATTTCTCCCTCTTTCCTATCCGTAATCGTTTGTTATATTGGGCACACGGAAACTGGTTTCATACGTCTGCTTTTCCCTAAACGTAATTTATATTCCATGTTTTTCACGACGTACTGTTCTCTCCTCTCCTATTTTCTATCGATTTCTGCAAGTTTCAAGAAACAAGTTTTTCGTTTTTGCATTAAAAGTCGAGGCTTGAGAACTTCTGACACGAAATGAATGTTTCATTCCATCTATCTTCGAAATTCATTTCCGATGTTGTCGTATAAATTATATTCAGGGCCGAAGAATAATGAAAAACGTGAGAGCTCTCTCACTTTCTCTCTCTTCCTCTCACCTTTACTTATAAAATTGAACAACTAGCGGATTAAATGACAATATTTGATTCAGTACGAAAGGGGGTGTTCCTGACTTTGTTGTTACACGGTCGACTTAAACGCTTCACGTGATTCGCAAGACACCCTATATAATTTTTCTTTGCAAATGACGAAGGAAACATGTAAAGAAATTTGTTTTCAGTAGCTCTTCTATACTCTGACTTTAATCATTTGACAGTGTGGCAGAAGATAAGACGTTCCTTTATTTTTTTAATCTATCAGGGAAATCGTTGATTTTCATCTCCGTCGTTTTCTGCAGACCTTAATCGAATCTTCGCGAAAGAGCTCTTTTCGCAGGGCGAAATTAAACCACGTTAACTGATGACGAATATCTACTTATCATTTTCATATCAGAATTCTTAATTTTGATAAAAGCGTTGCAATTGTTTCGATAAATTAACTGCGTAATTATACCTTTTAATTGATTCGATTAACGTTAAGTGCATGTAATTCATAATTGTAAATATTAATACGCATATTTTTGAATGAAAAATTTACGCGCATATTGAAAATGAAAAAGCGAATTAAAAAGTAGAACCTCCTCGCGGACGTATAATAATTTTATTTAGAAAGAATAATGAGAGAAACTATTGATAACTTAAAGAGTAATTAAATCTAAATAAGAGAGAGAAACACTGTCAAGCGGTTAATTGTAGTGGTGTTACCGTAAAAGTAATGACTAGCCATAATTATGTGAAACAGAACGATGCTTGGTGAATTATTATAGTTTTCCACTGTACTTCTCATTTCCATTTCTCCTCGTTTTTTTTTTTTTTTTAGTACCTTGTTGATGCTGTCTCTCTATATGGTAATATTGTAATTCATATCCAGTTGCATTGCAAGTCATAAGGAATTACCATCACCATACCGATTATGTCTTCTCCTGTCTTGGAAGCACGTTCGTTCTTTATTTCCGCTTTGGTACAGTCCTGGAAAGACGGTGCTTAAATGGTTAAAGTTTTGCAACAGCATTTAAGCTTCTACCCTTCTGCGGATCTAATCGACTTGGGAACTGTTTTAAGACTACCTTCTTGTAACAGTTTTCAGGGATACTTACTGTTTAAATTGACTGTAATTTCGACCTGATTTTCGAGTCGGCTTCGTTTGCTTTACGAGAAACAGTTTGAAAAGCTGTACCAAATTTATGTTTAACAGACACGAAGTGAATAATGAATGGTATAGTGTTTCCAGGTCTACCAGGTAATTAGAATTTGACCAATATAGAAAAAAAAATGTTGCGCTTAGTGTGTAGCTCTTTTTTTATTAATTTGATTTGTATGAAATTAATATATTTTGTTGGATGCCGTCGACGATGATAGCGACTTCATGCATGTTTACTATTATTAAAAAACAAATTATTGTTTTATTATTGTACGTTTGTATGTGTGTACGAATTATTATTGTCTATTATTATTGTACCATTTTTGATGTTTATTCATTATTTAAGTCTCACTGCCAGAGGCCGTAAACAGCGCTGAACAGTTTAACTCTGACGAACCATGCCTATTTTTCAATAATCCATCGCCACGAGTGAATTACTTCCGAATCATCGAATCATCGTCTCACTGACAATATATCATATCTATATTTTTTTATACCGTTAATTAACTTCGTATTATTTAAGTTTTTAAACGAGATCTCGACTAGCGGACGTTTTTTAATCATTGAAACGTTTCCTGATATTAATTGCGACGAATGTGCTCGATGATTTCGAAACGTAATGATAATTCGCATAGAACACGGGGGCGCTAACTGGCATAAGTCTTTAGTGTCGACTACATCGTATAGAAAGTAACGGAGGGACCGTGAATTACGAGGATCTTCAAATGTTATCTTCACTGTTTACTGCCCGGAAGTTGTGGAAAGCCTTCGAAGCCGGTTCAGAATTTTCGGGAGATAAGGAACCGTGAAAGATTCGGTTGAATTTCGTTTCGAGAGAATGTGACTCTAAAAACTTCGACAATTCGTTGGAAAATCTCTGATTAACTGGTAAAATTCAATTAGAGATTTTTCCCGAAATCGTAGATGTAATCTGGGAAAATCATAGATAGTGGCGAAGAAATTAATGATCGCGCTTAAGTGCTGATCTGCTAGAATGATAAGAATCGTTGAATCGTTTGATGATCCTTGATTGATTCATCGTCACCGATGTTATTCGATCTAAGAATTGGTTGCATTATACAGTCATTATGCCAGGACGCACTCAATAATTAAAAATCGTTTCAGAACGATCGATTCTACATCTGTTTTTCAAGTAATTGATCGAAATATCTACGTAGAATATGCGTAGGGCTTAAAAGAGGCAACAGAACTGAGATATACGTTGTTACTCTTCCATACTTTTTTTACAGATCGAAAGGAACGACGTTAACGTTCTGTTGTTTAAACAATTAAATGAATGCCTTTTCATGCAAGTTCAAGCTTTCGTTTAG